GGGTCGGGGGCCCCGCGCGGGGGGGCGCCTCCCCCGGCCGGCGGGACCGCCCGTCGATAAAGAAGGCATCCATCGAGTAGCTCTCGGTGACGGCCGCTTCGCCCTGGAAGTAGTGGGACGAGAGGCTGGACTGGGGGCTCTCGGGGTCGCTGTAGTCCTCCTGGATCGGGGTGTAAATGGGGTCGGAAGAGGCCCCGTGGCGGTCCGCTTTCTTCTTCTCATCCTTGTAACCTGAGGGGGGGAGGCAGGCGGAGAGATACCCTGCAACGGAGACAGGCGCCCGGAAAACGGTCAGTGCATTGAAAGTGAACGGAGGGGTCGGCCCTTTGAGGCAGGCCAGGCCCGCAAACCGACTTCACTAGTTTGTCTGGAACTCCACTGTATTGATCTAAGCCAGTGTTTCTCAACCTCGGCCACTTGAAGACGCGTGGACGTCAATGCCCAGAATTCCCCAGCCAGGATGTGGACTTCAGCTCCCAGAATTCCCCAGCCAGCACCACTTGGATTTAATCCTATGCATATTTACATTCAGAATAAATTTGGGGGATATTACCTCTGATTAAAAAAAAACAGAAAACCCTCAAATCAAAGGTTTTGGTTACCAGTAAGGGTGAAAGTCACATTCTGTGTGCCATGCAGATGCTACAGCGTTGTTATCATTAATATCAGCATCTTCACACAGGGCTGTGGATACTTGGGTTCAGATCTCATCTAGCATAACGTTGGCAGGAGGGCCAGGTGTGAGTTGTGTTTTCCTTGCAAGGCTGTTGTGCGAATGAAACTGGAGAGCGCATCTCCTTGAGCTTCATGGGTGTTGAAGTCCACCCATCTTCAAGTGGCCAAGGTTGAGAAACACGGCTAGAGAAGATAAATTCACCCCTTCTTCCCTGGGACAGCCCTTCAACTACTGGACTGCTGACCCTGACTCTTCTCTTCTCTAGACTTTACAGCAATAGCTGTTTCACCAAGAAGAATCTGGAACGGAGGCAGGGTTAGAAATTGATGGTGCGGATCTTATTACGAATCAACCATATTTGAGCCAAAGCAGGAGTAACTGTGGACGCTCTTTGATGGAAGACCCTTCTGGAGCAAAACAGCCTGTTGACTCTGTCTTGCACTGAACTTGATATAATGATACAGTACTGGGCACATGAGAGGCAGAGCATACAGCCTTAATGATAGATAGATACATAGATAGATAGATAGATAGATAGATAGATAGATAGATAGATAGATAGATAGATA